TAGTAGTAGTAGTAGTAATAATAATAATAATAATAGTAATACTAATAATAATAATAATAATAATAATAATACTAATAATAATAATAATAATAATAATAATAATAGTAGTAGGAATAATAATAATAATAGTAGTAGTAATAATAATAATAATAATAATAAAGAAAGAGAAGAAGAAGAAGATGATGAGAACTTGGAGATGGAAAATTAATGTAAGGATTAAACAATAATAATAACAAATGTCAAGGTTAGAGGTTCCACTAATGGTATATCAAACAAGTATAGTATAAACTCTTATTATTGAATTGGAAACCACACACAAAGGAGGTTCCAATCAGATTATATATTGTTAACATGATTACATTAGTCATCTTATTCAATTAATGCTAATACTTGTAAATCTCGTCAAGCATTCATGATTATAACTTATGTTAACAACAAATCAAGTTCCTTTCATAGCTCAGGTGTCGGTTATACCATACATTATGGGCCATGAAAGTGCCAAGCATTTGTTGTACCAAGTGTTATACAACATAAATCAAGATTAGTCATTTAACAAGCAAAGTATTAAAGAGTGAACAAGATAACAAATATAAAACATGTTAGTATCAAACATTAAAGTCCATATTAAGTTTACATTATACTTATTCTCACACCATTAGTGTAACCTTTTCACCTTGACATAATTAACTTAGCTAGACATAATGAAAGAAAGGAAAACAAATAAACAAAATAAGAACATAAAACTTAACTAAGTAAAGGAAAGGAAATGAAAGGCATAAACTTAATATTAATGAAAGTAAAGCATAAACATTACAAAAAATACAAAGAGAGAAAGGAAGAGCATGATCTTGATGTGGAAACCAAGATGCCTAAATGCATGGCAAATGCCTCCTTTTATAGGCCAAAATTGGGAACTATTGATTTGATGACTAATTGATAAGTGGGTGGCCAACTTTTGACTTGGTGACAATCCTTATCTTCTCTTGTCTGCCCAAAACGTCATTGATAACGTCAAAATTGGAGCCAGTTGCAAACATGAAAGTTGTAGCCAATTGTCTCAGCTTTCGTGTGTAAAAAATTCAGCTCATTTGGACTTCTAGAACTCCAGATATGGCCAAAATACCGAACAGTGCTCGGGCTGGAAGACAGATTCGGGCTTCTTTGTTGTTGCTACAATTTGGACTTGATAATGGCCTTTTTAGATCTTGGGCTCCATATGAAAGTTGTAGGCCTATGTCTTACCTTTCCATCCATATAAATTGGACCTAAATCTGAGATCTGTAGCTCCAAATATGACCCAATTACCGAACAGTGTTCCGGTTTGGATTGCACCGATATCTCTTCTCTAAGTTTGACCATCTCTTTATCCATGCAATTTAAGTTCTTCAAGTCATCAATCAATCCTTTCATTTATGTGATAGACCTGCATTAAAAATAGACATTTACCACAAATTATAGGTATCTTATCTTATTAGATACATTATTATAAAACATATTTTAGTTAAGGAGTTATTGATACTTCAAGTGCAAAATGATGATATAAAACCATGATAAAAATGCACTTTTAAGTACTAATCACACCCCCGAACCAGCTTATTACTAGTCCCTAGTAATCAAAGCGTAAAATAGAAAAACAATTTGTATATTTCACAAAGCAAGGTATTCATCATTTAACTTCCATTAGTCTATCCAGATAAACAAACTCTCATTAAATTTATATATCTGCTCAATACCACTTAACAAGATATTAATAAACCTTTCTTTTGTGCGCAATGTATCAACACATAATTATGGGGCTTTTCTTGGATGAAAACAAAATTTTTGTTCTAATGTTTAAGGTTAACTTCCTTAGGCTGGGATTATTATTTTTGTCTTTTTTTTTCTTTTTCTTTTTTTTTTTTAAATATATATACATATAATTTAAAAACAGCATGTTTTGTCTTTTTTTTTTTTAACTCTATATACATATACTTTAAAAACATCATGCATCTTTAACCCATGTAACGAGCTTTCAGCTAATGACTCCCAGACCAGTTGGTATTAGGGCATTAGGTGTTAAAACACCCCTACGAGCTTAGTAACTCGGGTCGCAGATACTGATATGTAGATAGTGCAATGTTTGATTCCCTTAAGCTTTTCTCCTCAACCCATGTAACAAGCGTTGGGCCAATAGCTCCCAAGTCAGTTGACTTTAGGGTATTAGGTGTTAAAACACCCCTTCGATCTCTTTTCTAAGTTTGGCCATCTCTTTATCCTTGCAATTTAAGTTCTTCAAGTCATCAATCAATCCTTTCATTTATGTGATAGGCCTGTATTAAAAATAGACATTTACCACAAATTAAAGGTATCTTATGAACAGTGCTCGGGCTGGAAGTGATGATATAAAACCATGATAAAAATGCACTTTTAAGTACTAATCAATCATCTTTCTCACAAGGTTCAAGAATTGGTTTTTGGATAACCTTACCACTACAAAAAGTGATGACTGATTTGACTTGATCCATGTGTTGAATTCCAGGACTACTTCTATTTGTATTGTATTGCCCATTGAGATTTTACTCTGGTTAAGATGGAAACTTACCTTTCTCTTGAAAACTAAGAGCAGATGTGAATTTTGCAAGAGTATCTTTAAAATCTGTTATGTTTTGAGCAAGTTGAATGTTGATTGTCTTTTGCTTTTCAATGAATGCATACAAAGTTTCTTCAAAATTTCTTGTAGGAGGTGGAACATGAGGAGGTGCATATCCATAATAATTTTGGAAATTATGGTGTGCTTGAAACGGTGGTTGTGAAGTTTGTGCATTGTTGTTCTCACTCTTCCAACTAAAATTTGGGTGATTTCTCCAACCAGAGTTGTATGTTTGTGAGTATGGGTTGTGGTTGGCTCTTTGGAAACTATTTATAGCATAAGCTTGTTCGTAGAGACATTCCTTAAAAGAAGGCAACGTTGGACAATCATTGGTTGAGTGTTCATTTGTTTCATATATTTGACACACAATGTTTTCAACAGATTTTAATTGACTACTCGTTTTCAATTCTAGTGCCTCGACTTTTCTAGCTAAAGATGCAAACTTGGCTTGAAGGTTATGATCTTACCTAAGGTTGTACATACCTCCACTAGATGTATGAGGTTGAGTTTTACTCGGTGCCTCATAAGTACCCGCGGTGTCCTAATTTTGAGCATTTTCAGCTAACAAGTCTATGTACTCCATTGCTTCATCAGGATCTTTATCTTCAAAAGTTCCATTGCATATCAATTCAACCATTTGCTTATCTCTAGGTGTTAACTCTTCATAAAAATATGAAACCAATCTCCATGTTTCAAAACCATGATGAGGGCAAGTACTAAGCAAGTCTCGATACCTATCCCAATATTGGTAAAATGTTTTTCCTGGTTTTTGAGTGAAAGTAGTGATTTGTCTTTTGAAAGAGTTTGTTCTATGAGACGGGAAAAACTTCTTTAAAAAGTGTTGTTGCATTTCATCCCAAACACGAATGGATCCTAGTCTTAAATTTTGTAGCCATGTTTTAACTTTATCTTTTAATGAAAAAGGTGAAAGCTTTAATCTGATGGTGTTCATGCTATAATTTAAGTTATTATATGTGTTGCAGACCCATGTTTTAGCTTTATCTTTTAATGAAAAAGGAAAAAGCTTTAATCTGATGGTGTTCATGCTACAATTTAAATTATTATATGTGTTGCAGACCTCTTCAAATTCCCTTAAATGCAAGTATGGATTTTCCAATTCCAAACCATGAAAATATGCTAAAAGTTGAATAATGTCTGATTCAAATTCCCTTAAATGCAAGTATGGATTTTCCAATTCTAAGCCATGAAAAGAAGGTAAAAGTTGAATAATGTCTGGTTTAAAATTAAAATGAGATGCATCGGGAGGAAAAACTATGCATGATGGTGCACTTGTTCTTGTGGGATTCATGTGGTCTCTAAGTGTTCTAACATGATTATTCTCATTATGAAGTGATTGATTATCTTCTTCGGCCATATTTTTTGAAAATGATGAGGATATCTTACAAAGTCTACCACTTGATGCACGTGACCATACTCTCATGCACGTGTAGGAATAGAATAAGAGGAAGAAGAAAACAAAAGAAAAAGAAATAAGAGAAAAGAAACAAATTTATATACAAGAAAAGTGAAAAGAGAAAATAAATATTATAATTTATACAAAACTTACCTCCCTAGCAATGGTGCCAGAAACTTGATTAATATCTTCTCCCAAGTGCAGGAGTGTCGAAGTAATAAATAATTCGGCAAGACCGGGGCCGAACCATAGGGAGGTTAATTGTACAAATTATAAACAATAACAATAGTAGTAACAATAATAACAACAACAACAACAACAACAATAACAATAATAACAATAATAATAATAATAA